CGTTTACTTTAATATATGGCGGACTCGGCAGTGAAGTGTGACGCTCAGGCGCGTGAAACAGATTGAGAAAGACGCGACTTCTTGTTCGCTTCGCTTGATCCTGCTAAATATCTCCGTTTACTTTAATATATGGCGGACTCGGCAGTGAAGTGTGACGCTCAGGCGCGTGAAACAGATTGAGAAAGACGCGACTTCTTGTTCGCTTCGCTTGATCCTGCTAAATATCTCCGTTTACTTTAATATATGGCGGACTCGGCAGTGAAGTGTGACGCTCAGGCGCGTGAAACAGATTGAGAAAGACGCGACTTCTTGTTCGCTTCGCTTGATCCTGCTAAATATCTTCTTTTTGCAACTTAAGTTATTTAGCTTTATTTATATATAATTATTTTAAATTGCCGTTAACTTATATAGTTACCCTAATTTCGGTCAAATGGGATATATGTATATATATTTAATACTTAGATGCTTCGAAAATCAGTGTCCCTTATCGAACTAGAGGTTTAGTTAAACACAGATCATATTATTGACTTATTTAGTTCCAAAATATGATAGATAAATCAAATATAAACTCAATTATACGGTTAAGTAGCCTTTGCATTTTTTAAAATTTGTCCCTTTACAAAACCTAGCACATTAACCTTTGACCCACGATCACTGAAGCAGTAATCAACATCCAGCCTTCTCACCTAATCCACAAAAAAGTCCTTACACCAGATGAAATTAGCATTTAAAAAACCCAGTCAGATTTTTCCACTACATGTGATCCAATTTCATCATAGTTTTTTTTTTTCATGATTTCATTATACGTTGGCCCGGCATGGCCAGGTGGTTAGGGCGCTCGACTCGCAATCTGAAGGTCGCGGGTTCGAATCCCCCTAATATCAAACATGCTCGCCCTTTCAGCCGTGGGGGCGTTATAATGTGACGGTCAATCCCACTATTCGTTGGTAAGGGAGTAGCCCAAGAGTTGGCGGTGGGTGGTGATGACTAGTCGCCTTCCATCTAGTCTTACACTGCTAAATTAGGGACGGCTAGCGCAGATAGCCCTCGTGTAGCTTTGCGCAAAATTCAAAACAAACAAACAAACATTATACGTTATTACTTTTTGACTTGAAAACATCCTAGCGTTCGAAAAACAAATTAATTATATTAATGTAGGAGCCTTGTGTCTAGAAGTGAATATTTAAAACCACAAGAACCGTCAGTGTTAAGCCATTTAATACTTAGTTCTAGTGTGACACTTTTCGTAGAAAGACCTTGACACAGTTAATACGTTTGTTACCTGCACCCACTAACATAGTTAGAAAATAGTGTAGAACATTAAACATAAGGTGGCAGAAAATTGTTGCTTCGTAACTTGTCTGCTTTAAAACGTAATAGCGGAACTGTAGGTAGAACTTAAACCTCACCAAACAATATTGATGCTTTTGTTTAGTGTGCTTTATGTGGCAAATAATCGATACCACAACAAACTAACTTGTGTTTCATATTAAGTTTACTTAAAAACTGTCGAGATGTCCTTTCACACAGTATTTAGGGTTCTAAGTCACTTTTCAGTCTGATATCAAAGATTAGGACTTTTTTTAGCACGTTATTCGTTGAGTCATAGTTCTGTGTTATCCATGTGGAGTATTTGATAACATGTTAATTGGTGGTTAAACGAATATATTATTGTTTACCATACTGTAAAGTGAATGCGACTAAACTTGCATAAGGGCAATATTTCTGTAAGGTAATTAACTGTCTAGAGATATTAGTGGTATATTGTATGAAGTTGTATCATAGTAATAGATAGCACTATCGTCTATATATTTGTGTATACGTTTTTGCTTTAAAGAATTGTGAGTTATAAAATAGACCTACAAGGAATTGCACTCATTCATACTTGTTACCGCACTATATATGTCACTGCAAAGTTATCATTTCATTTTAGATGTTTGTTTGAAGTTAAGCACAAAGCTACATAATGGGCTATCTGTGCTCTGTCCACCACGGGTAT